CTAAATCCCATTTCAGTAACTAAAATATAATATTATTAATATAATATAATCAATATTAAATAATTAATATAATATAATATAATTAATGTAATGTAATTAATATAATATAAATAAAATAAAATACTTTGCTTTCCCTTTTACCGCTCTTCTCCCTCTTTTTATAATTTTTTTTTTAATTCAATGCCAAATCTGCAGACAGAATTCCAGCTTCTTTCTCATTGATACAAAGCACAGAAGTAACATCACTTCCCTATTCCTACCTCTCTGCTCTTTTTTTTTTTTTTTTTAAATTTACCATCAAGTTGGAGAAGTCAAAATACTTTATGATTTGTCTGTTTTCATCCCAGAATCTATTACAGCATTATGGGCTGCCAAATCATTTCCTCATTTGCCTGCTTACATTGTCTTCTGTGGTCTTAAGTGAACCATGTTCAAATGCATTTTTGTGTGAGTCCACATTAATGAATTTTCAAGATTATTCTACCTGGTGCATTATTATCACTCTGACAAATTTTTATGCTAACCACATCAAAATTAGTGTTTGAAAGATAGCTAAAAGCACAACATTTGGACAGTAGTAAGAAATTGAGTTACTAACATTTTCTTTAATAAATTTAAAAAAAGTAACAGAATAACTTTAAGTGTTACTAGAGACTGTCTCTTTCTAGAGAGAGACAGTTTAGGAGTAGAGTTAAGCTTACTCATTTTTTTTTTCAAATGATGAATTCCATCATTCCATTCAGAGAAAAAGAGAAGGTGGAGGAGGAAGTAAATTAATGGAAAGAACTACCCCTGGTTTTCAGAGGACATCTTCCTGTGAAGTCCAATAATAGTATCTTCCTTTTCAGCTGTAGTACAACATTAAATCATTGGTCTTTTCTTTTAGGCAGTTCTAATTGAAAGATTTCACTGACTTTTTGGAAATTTTGACTTCAGTTAAAACCTTTGAATAAAGTTCCCCATTGGCTTTATGGGCAGATGGAATCTGAACTCAGATCTGGACCAGAGCAACAATTAACAAAAGCCTTGTAAACAAGTGTGAAGCAAGTCTCTAAATGTAATGTAGGAAATAGATGGGACAGAAGCACACAAACCAGAGTGAAACACTCTTCATGTGTGTGTTCTGAAACTTTTCTTTTACTGTGATAACACTGTGTTCTTTGTAAATGCCCCTTCCACTTTACATCTCACAGACAGTTAAGTAACAGTAAGCTGTAATTGAAAACGAATTGGGTTTGTTTAGTCTACAGAAGAGAAGCCTGAAGGAAGACCTGATAACACTCTTCAAGTACAGAGAGGGCTGCCGCAAAGAGCAAAGGAATAATCTGTTCTTCATGTCCTTGGAGAGAGAACAAGAAGAAATGCACTCAAATTACCACTAGAGAAATTCAGGTTGGATATCAGGAAGAATCACTAGGCATGGGAATAGATTACCTTGGGTGATTGTGAAATCTCTCTCAAGGGGAGCTGCAAAGAAGGGGTTGGACAAATGTTTGCCTGGGGTGGTAAAGGCAGAGCTGAATTCTTGAGGCTGAGTATAGACTACATAACCTCTCCAAACCTTTGTCAATTCTATTTTCTGTGAACTTTCCTTTACTCTGTCCATTTATAGAAGGGACGGAGTAATTTATACTCTGCAATTTCTACAACATATTTAGAGATATTCACCAGTTCCACCAAACAACAAACAGAAGCTTATAAAGACATGTAAGGAATAAAAATCAATATTTCTGTAAGTAGCACTAACTCTATAACTTGTAATGTAACTGATAAGGGTCATAATTACAACGTAATTATGAAAATATTTATGAAAACATTTGACAGTGCTAAAGCAGTAAAACCACCAGAACCTGTGGATTAATACCATTTACATATGTCTTTTGGTTGTAAAGCATAGTACTTACTGCAGTCCACACTTTTTCTTGACAAAGCTCAAACGTTCATAATGAGGAGAAAAACAAATGCATTGTAGTTATCCAGACCAAATGACTAACTTGTAATTAAGCCCCTCTCCCTACCATGCAAGGAAAAAAATGTCTACAGGACTAAGCCATGTTTTCCCTGCAGTAATATTTTTTCAAGCAAAATATCTGATTTTGCAATCCATAGTAAGGTATCATTGTCCAAGCTATGAATACACAGTCCTCTGATGCAAAAATGCTGCTAGAATATACTAAAAACCAATCGTTTCCCATTCATTTTGTAATCTTTTTAAGAGAACAATTAAACCATTATTCTTCCCACTTGAATACCCCCCGGCATGTATTACCAGCACATTTGTATTGTCAGTATCATAATTCTCAGGATTTTTTCCTCAGGAACATCATTTCACAGTGACCAGTGGGATCCAAGCAACTTTATCTACTTTTGTGTTTGTTTGTTTTTTTTTCCAAAATATTTGCATCCAAAAAGAATTTCTATAAAGTCTGTTGCAAAACCCATGCACCACTATTTTTTTTTATTTTTATTTTTGGAGGACCTGAATCAACTTTCTTTGATAGCAAGTTGCTCTTGACATTAATGGAAACAAGTATGGTCCCAAATTGTTCATTCACAGCACCAGTCAATAGCAGTTTAGTAAGAACCAGGACTGCATTATAAAGACAAATATTTGGTATGATTTAAACCTTATGCAATATAGAAATAGGCAAGATTGCTTTTGATGCCAGTCAGTCACCTCTGTAGTGTGACTTGTCGTAACACTTCCTTGCAGAAAATACACTGAAGAATAGAAGCAAAGGAAATATCCAGTTAATGGTTACATAAGGCAAGGCTCATACCATGTGGAAATCAAAGAAAACCGAATAATACATGTATTAAAATACACACCTGCTACATTAGGATGTCATATTATCCCCATGTTCTTGCCATTCAAACTTTTTCTTTATTAAGAAATCTTTGTTTGAGAGCAATTTGGTTTAGCTTTCAAAATCAAAATGAAGTCTAGCTGTATGAAACATATTTAGTAAAGCAACCTGTTCCAGCATTTCTGGAAATCTGTCCATCTTCCTGCTTCAGTGCTCTGAATGTAGCTGTGTATGTGAGCTTCCTCACTCACAATTTAGCTCATTTAGCTCACTAAAGCTGCAGACAGAGTTGGCAGTAGGCAACTTTTAAGTTTTATATTCATTAGCATAAAGTTGCTTATGCACTTGCTGCATAGACACTTGATAATACCATAACCCTTGCCTTTCCTTTCCCTCCTCCTTACTAAAAACCAAACAAAAACAAACAAACAAACAAACAAAAAACACACCTAAGACACCTTTGACCCTTTACCATTCTAACAAGTTATATTCAAAATGTCCATTTAGTTATACATGCAGTGGGGCAGCTCAATTTTTGTATCTCAGTGTAAGCGATTAGCACGATGACTGCAGTGAAAGTCAGTTCAGCTTCTGGGAAACGTCAAAAATTTTCAGTTCTTTGTGAGCCAATATATACCCTAAATAGCTTTTTGGTTGGGTAACAGACCTTCATGTATTTGGATTCATTTTCTAACCTTTGGGACTTTGATACTGTTGTCCATGCTTTTGCCAGTGTTTTAAAACAATTAAAAGATTAGATCATCCAAAATCTAAATACAAAGCATGGTAGTGAAATCTGCATAATACACTTGGCCTGTGCTTTGCACCATGTGAGTCCAGCATTAATCCAAGTTTGAATTTATAATCTGAAGTATAAAACCTTGACACTAAATAAGGAAAAAAAATGTGCTCAATGTTTTCAATGAAGTGTGGATAGACTTGTAAATAGAAGCATTTCCTGAGCATAGCTACATAAATAGGCCAGCTTTAGTGTTGCTACAGAGGCACAGTCCTGGCTGATGTCAGCTGGAAAAGTATTAGAATAATCATTGTAAACTATTCTGGAGGTGATTTTCTTGCCAGGAAAAATATTGCCAAGAAACTCAACTATATATTCAAATATTTTTTAATACTACTTTGATACATTTCACTGAGAAGTGTATAGCTGTTTTCACTTGTATTGCATATTCTCTGTCCTGAAACAATTGTATAGCAAATTGTAAATTATCATATCATCTGTTTTCATGCAAATAGCATGGAAAGTGATTTACTGTGTGTTCAAAAACAGTATAAAAAAGTATTAACTATGAATATTCAGAGAAAAATGGATTTTAATCTGATTGTCATAAGTCTGCCACAACTCATGAGCAAAACAGACAAATCTGTAACCGGAAGAGTGGTAACAAAATAAAAACTTGAGGAAAATAGTGGTGGTACCATCAATATTAACCAGCTGGGTAAAATTCTATATGCTGGTGAGCTACTGGTGGTCACTGACAGCATGTAAGAGAATTGTTATGCCTTCCATAGTCTTCTGATAAAAATATGTTTTTAATTCCTCTTGAGGGTGTTATTGTTCTTCCCTTCCTGTCCTAAAATGTGTGAGCATCAGCTAGTGAGCAGCTGTCATGTCCTAGCCACAACTGGCTCTGTTTCTCTGATGAGTGAAGCAATCTCTATACATAAACAGACGTATGTAAATATGAAGTTTTTATCTCTTTGGGAATAAGATCTTGAAAGTTGATTGCAAGATGTTATTTTACTGCTATAAACACCCACCAGTTTTCCCCAAGCTACTCAGTCCTGGAACTATGGCACATTGTTTTCAGGAAATAATGCTTATTGAACTTATGTACGTCCAAAAACCAGTTAACATGTTCTCCTTAGATAGACAGTGTGGAGAAGGCTGTATGTGTTAGCTCTTTTAGAAAGCAAGATGGATTATTAATAATAGAATTAATGATATAAGATTATATTCCTTGGTCTCACCAAATACAAGCTAGAAAAAGAATACATGAGATACATGAGGAGACTTTTATGGAGAAAAAAACAAAAAACAAACAAACAAACAAAAAAAAACATTTCCTTGATTAATTTTACAAAGCAACATCATTACATTTTTTCTGATACTTTCATGTTTTCTTCTTACTTTTTATCACATACCCTTGAAGAGAAGATGTACTGAACAAAGGATATACCAATAGATGAAGACTTTATTCACCTTACATTCTCCAAATGGTCTCACAGGATCTCTCCTGTGTTAATATCTGAGAAATCTCAGCATTTAAAGGCACAACAGAACAGCCAGCACTGACCTCACCAGGCTCCCCAGGATGTACTGGCTGAGGCTATAAATTAAAGGCATCCCACTCCTGTAGGGATTCCTTTAGGTCAAGGGTAGGCTAAGTACTTGTCATCATTTTCCAGTTCACAATGCCTAAAATAAAGTGAGGATTGTGATGCAGTCTGGTACAGCTGTGTTTTTCATAGCATGACACCACGGATATGTGCTGCATTACCGCATGGGATAATGTAGGAGGAATGTCCTAGATGGAAAGAGTCAACATTGACGTGGGCTGCATCCATACAGCCTGTCAGGAACAGACCCTGGAACAAATTATCATGTTAACTGTATCTAGGTCTCCTCTTGAAAGGAAATAGCTGGCTTACTCCAAAGTGGAGCCTGGGAGAAAACCAGGCAACAAAGATATTCAGTAATGTGCTTGCAGATGCGCCCAACTTCGCTTTTGGTTGGACCAGATTGTAGGTCACTTTTGAGCACCACCAAGAGTGTAAAGAATCTTTTTCTCACATTTCCCAGCCTTGAAATGGTTTTATGTTTGATATTATAAGCAATTATCTTGCAAGAGTATAAATTGCATTTTACTGTAAAAACAAACAAACAAAAAAAAAACACGTTAACACGTTGATGCCTACAGTACTTCCCACCCTTAATTTACAGATTAACACACAAAACCACAAAGCAATTGAGGCAGAGCCCCTGCCCTTCGCATCAAAATCTCACTGCTGAGGGTAACATTCCCCTCTTCAGGCGAAATATTTTGCCAATGTGGAGAGTCACATGCACACACTGCAATTTAACGGCTTAAGTCATTCACGCTTTGGGGCACAGTACTAAAAATTTTGGTCTAGCTCCATCTTTGAAGTGACCCACCTCCAGAGAGCAGGGCCTAGGGGCACTGTCTTCTCGGCAGCCTGACTTATTCATTTTCTTAAGTGAGAACAAACTGAGCATTTTCAGCTTAGTCACCTCATTCTTGTAGATCAAGCCCAGAGGTCACTAGCGCAACAGTGTCCCTCCTCCCAGCACGCAAGACTGACCAGTGACTTGACAGAGCTGTAAGTGCTGTATTGCATACTGTAGTGCTGAGCTGAAGGGAAAGCTATTCAAAATGGTTTAACAACATAGCCTGAACTTTACACTAGAGTGATCATTCTCTCCTTTTTACCTGTCTTCACAGTTCTGCAGACCTGCAAAAGGATTAAGCAGACCTTTGTACAGTTATATGCCTCCTTTATTACATACTTCTCAACTGATGTTCTTTGATCAGTCTTTGACCTTGAGGAAGGGAAAGTGTTGGATAATACTCACTGGCACCCTCCCTTGCACATACTCCACGTGAAAAGTTCTCACAGTACAGGATCTCAGAAACAAGTTGTATCTTCCCAACTATAGAAATGCATCTAAAAGATCAAAGAATAGCATTTTCAGAGCATGGGATTTGCACCACCTCACCAACCCCTCTCTGGGACACCCACAGATTCTCTAAACTCTAAGGTGATTGCTCTAAGCATCTTAAACACACCCCAAGTACCTTACTCCTGGATTTAAACTCAACCCCTCACTCATCTCTCTCATTAAACACTTACTATCTCTATCAGGCTTCACTCTGTTTATAACCTCTTCTCCTAACACTTGCCTTCTGTCTCAGCCTTTGGCAAATTGCCCACAGCTGTAGACCCAAACCCCCTTGATCACCAAGGCCTCAGCCAGCCTATTGCCCCAAGGTGTTTCAGGCTCAGTAGCTGCCTGTTAGGATTTAATGACCACCTTGTCAGGCAGGTCTCATCAAGCCAACCTGTGCTGACAGAGAGGCATTCATGACACAGCAATTTTCATAGCAGTAATCCCCTAATAACTTCACGATCTGCGTGTACTGAGTTCACTAAACCAACACTGTGGTCACATTTGGAATAAGCTATCAAGGTTTCTTTCAACATACAGGATTCTCATTCTGTATTATTTGATTATCATGAGATCTATATTTTTTTCATTTCTTGCTTCTTAAAAATGGTGAATAATATTGCAAGCAAACTATCTGAAAAGTCATGAGAGCAGAAGACAAAGCAGTAACTAGTTTCATTTTAAGAGTTAAAATGATAGTATGTAGATTCATGTCAAGTAGTTACCTCAATTTTAGTAAGAATGAAGTCCTACGTTTGAAAAGCCCTTGAACACCCTTTTCATAGAAGCATGAAAACAAAACTCTGTCCCAGGGATACTTGCTGTCCATTGGATTTTATCATAATTCAGATTTTATCATAATATAGATTAATTATTTTAGCCAATGTACTTTGTACAAGAGATACTGGTTTTAATGGTGGAGGTGGGGAATACTGACTTAAAAAGACACACCATTAAAAGTCACTGTTGAGACTCATTTATAATATATTCTTAATAACAATTGGACAGTGGACAAAGAAACTGGTTTGTCTGCTTAGCTGCAAGGACTATGCATGTTTAGCTTTAACTCTATTTTATCCTGGAAGACTTCCTATCAACATTGGTTAGCAGCCCATCTTAGTCTGAGAGCTAAGCATCCCAGGTCAAACTCTATTCTGGATTTTGATGTTTCATTTTGGCAAGCTATCTGTTTATTTAGTTTCCAGGCAGGCACACAGGGCTGAGGTAATAAGACCGATGAACCAGTTTTCCTCAGGAGAGTTGAGTTATCACTTACAGATGTGCTCTGAGTTTTTTTGATCTCAGACATTCAAACTCCATTCTTGTAAAGAGCAAACAGCAAAAACATTTAGTATTTTTCTGTTGCTGTCACTTTTTTCTCCCTTTATTTTGACATATAGATTCAATGAAAACAAAACAAAACACTAATGGCATGTTTTTGGATTCAGGATTAAAGCAACTATGAGGCACTGTGGACATGGTTTGTGCTTGCAATTTGTGGAATTTGTGGCTATATGGAAATTAAAAATTGCACTTGGAAAGGCTGACAACAACTACAGTATATTTAGTTAAAACATCAGATGTACCTACTTCTCAATTAAATGCTTAGACTGGCATTCCTGAAATGGAAACCACATGGTCCTTCTCATTCTAATGTATCACATCAGGGTCCCTTTCAGTGTGTTTTAAAAAGTCATATCCTGATGGAACAGTAAAAAAAAAAAAAAAAATCACTACCAGTAAAAGAAGTTAGATTAATAAGAGTCCTGTCATAACGCTGTTTTACGTGATTGCCTTTCATACGTAAGAACCCACCTTTAACTTCTCAGGATCTCATGCAGAGAGTAGTGTACAAATCTGTGTACTCCACAGATTCGTCAGCCTTGTGGTCTCTCTGAGGTCATCTTGTGGCAGTCCTGAGGGAGAAGGGAATTCATCCCAATCCCAGGTTCAGGGAACAGATGGAGATGCAGCTCATAACTCCTTTTCAGCTACTCCTTGTAGCTTGTGTATATGTAAATCAAAGAACAGAATCCTTTACAAATTTTCAGGGGGAAAAAAGATGCTTTACACTTAGAGGAAAATGTTCTTATATGCAGACTACTTTCAGCTATAAAGAAGACAGGGAAAAAGATGTCATCAGTTTTATCTTCATATTTTCCTGTAAAATCATACATTGCTTAAGCATGTTTGTCCCACAGTGCATGAAACCCATATTTTAATACAACATGTAGCACTGTAACTGAACTCATTCACAGGACAGGTTTGATCTAAACCACTATTTATTAAGTGCACCATTCTGTAAACAAACCAAAACAAAGCAGCCAATGTTCATTTTGACTGAGCTTATCAAAATATTTCTGAAACAACTGCATCGATGTAATGTGATGTACTACTGATCACTATCTAAAGCTAAACGCTGCACCTCAGTACATCATGGAATCACAGAATCTCAGAATAGCTGAGGTCGGAAAGGACCTCCAAGGATCACCTAGTCCAATCCCCCCTTGCTCAAGCAGGGGCACCTAGAGCATGTTGTACCGGATTGCAACCAGGCGGGTTTTGAATATCTCCAAAGAAGGAGACTCCACAACCTTTCTGGGCAGCCTGTTCCAGTGCTGTGACCTGAACTGTAAAGTTCTTCCTCATATGGCAACAAAACCTCCTGTGGTTCAATTTATACCCATTACCCCTTGTCCTATCACTGGCTGCCACTGAGAGGAGTTTGGCCCCATCCTCTTTACATTGTCCCCTCAGGTATTTATAAGAGGTTAATAAGATCCCCTGTCAATCTCCTCTTCTCTAGGCTAAACAGGCCCAGCTTACTTAGTCTTTCCTCATAGCACAGATGCTGAAGTCCCTTAATCATCTTCATGGCTCTATACTTCTCCAGAAGCTTTATGTCCCTTTTGTACTGAAGAACACAGGACTGGACACAATGCTCCAGGTGTGGCCTCACAAGAGCTGAGTAGAGGGGGGTGGATAACCTCTCTTGACCTGCTCTCTACACTCCTCTTGATGCAGGCTAGGATCCCATTGGCCTTCTTGTGGCCACAAGAGCACACTGCTAGCCCATGTTTGACTTGTTGTCCATCACGACCCCCAGGTCCCTCTCTGCAGAGCTGGTCTCCAGGAGGTCAGCCTCCAACCTATACAGGTGTCTGGGATTATTCCTCCCCAGGTGCAGGACCCTGTACTTACACTTGTTGAAGCTCATGAGGTTCCTCTCCACACAACTTTCCAACCTGTACAGGCTGCTCTGAATGGCCACACAGGCCTCTGGTGTGTCAGCCACTTTGACAAGCTTTGTATTGTCTGCAGACTATTTGGGGGGTGCACTCTGTCCCTTCATCTGGGGTTTATTTCTGGGGCTGCTGCAAATTAAGATTCACACTAATGTCTATGTATTTTTCTAGGTGCTAGAAACTGAGTCATTAGTTACTCTAAGGACAACAAACAGAATTTCCTTGAGTAGTTTGGTTCACATGACCTTGCATGTATTTTCTTAGTAATTTTTCCTGGAAAGTACAGGCATCCTAATTCTCTTCGGCTTCAGTCTTTCTGATGGATTTGCTCCCAGAATAAGCTGTAGTTTTCAGATGTCTGGATGGAAATTTTTCTGTGAACCTGCCCTCCTATTACTGAAGTATCTGGCCCATAAAGACTTTTCAACAGATCATCTGTTTAGGACTTCTCTGTTTGCTCAGAGCTGAAAAGAACAGTTATTCCTTTTTTTCATTTTAGCTCCCTTGCCTCCCAGTTCAAGCACTGTTTCAGTCTGAAAACTTCACAGTGCCCTATAGGGGATAGAAAACAAGACAATTCTCAGAGAAGGAATTCAATGACCCATGAGCCAGTTTTATTAAACAGAAAACATTTGTCTATCAATATAATTATATTTTCATATTTCATAATATCCTAATGCAAATATTTTGTTTGGATTTTTTTTTATTCAACTTGGAACCCATTCCATCTCTTCTTTGGTTACAAAGACATTGTAAGACCATATTTCCTGGTTCAACCTGTTACAATGCAATTGCTACACACAGTGCTGTTTGCTTAATTAGCAGTTCTGTGAAAGCACTGCCTGTGATTTTCTTAGAGCCGCAGCTTTAAATTCAGTGATATACTTTTAAGTACTAATGCAATTTATACATACAAAGTGAAGCAGTGAAACTGCATTTCCTCCATCCCTGTAACACATAAAATAATTTTCTCTTAATTTGAGAAGCTTTTGACTCATCTGCTGTGTGTGACCCCATGCAGCGGTGTTTTTTGTTGTTGTTGTTAAGTTTTAAATAAATGTCAGTTTGCTCAGAGCTGTGATTTTATTATTTGTGAATAGTCAGATCTGAGAATTTTTGAATTCTCTTTGAAACATTAAGCTAAAATACCCTTGAAAGAAGAGATGTTAAAAATAATAGTGTGTGTTGCCATTTGAGAATGCTGTTCTTCAGACGGAGAATAGCTCAGCTTCCACTTTATCTGCAGAATCATTTTGCAGTGCAAGTGCTGACAATAAATCATGTTAACAAGTGCTTTCATTTTAATCTTCCTTTGTCATTGCTTCTAAAAATAATGAAAATGTAACATTCATGAAAGTTACTTGTATTAATGGAAATTAGACCTGTCAGTTACCACTGTAGTCAGTGTAATAAGCTGACAAGCAAAATTATTATTTTTTGTTTGTGTAACACACTGATTTGTGTTCACTGATGACAAAATGTAGATGCTAAGGTTACAATATCAGGCTACTTGACACCTGAACATGCTCAATCTGTTCCACTAACACTCAGAAGATAATTCACATCACAATCTTTCTTTCATAATGTTGGGAAGCCATAAGACTGTAGTGGGTTTACGTGGCAAAGTTTTGGTAGCAGGGGGCCATAGGGGTGGTTTCTGTGAGAAAGATCTAGAAGCTGCCCCATGTTTGGGAAGGACCCCATTGTTTTCCAGATCTGAACCAATAAGCAATGTTGTTTTGCACCTCTGTGAGAGCATATTTAAGACAGGGAAAAAAATGTTGTGCCACACAGCAGCTGGGAGGGAGAGAGCAGTGGGGAATGGCCTTGCAGGTACCAAGGTCAGTGTAGAAGAAGGGGGAGAGGTGCTCCAGGCGCCAGAGCAGAAGTCCCCTTCGGCCTGTGGTGAGGACCATGGTGAAGCAGGATGTCCCCCTGCAGCCCAT